CAGAATTTCATTAGATGGCGCCCTCTAGAGACATGTATGGAAGTCCGTGGTCATCTTTTTTTTCACTTGCAAGTGATTTAATGTACAACGTTGGTATATAGCGTATATACTATGCCTTAAGTGTCCACATTTCGGCGATTGCCGTTACAAATTGGCACTTATGATACAGTAAATATTTTATTAAAAATAAAAATCGGGGAAAAGAAATCGATAGTTACAGCTATTTATTGTCGCTTCATTTAATTACATTAACATCTGAATTATTAGTGAAACTAAAATCTTCTATACTGATGATTGCTCAAGAGTTTGAGTATCTCAGGATATTCAAAATGTTTTTAATTGGTTTCAAATCAAAACTAAATTTCTACTCCCAACGTTCTGAACAGATAGATGACCGACCAAGTGATTGGCAGCGCAGGAAGCCAATCAACGACCGTGTTACTGGTCATAAATTCCACTGCAAACTTTGAAGCAGCTGGCCTAAAGATTTCAGCGTGTTGTTGGCAGGGTATCAGAAGATGGTGGTAATTAGAGAATAATGTGTCGATGGTTATTAAACTTGCTTAGTACTTTGATTTAAAGAGGGGGGGTCGTCACCTGCGCACGTGCAGGAATTGAGACCCAAGCGACGATAACAACACACGCTAAGAACGCAAAGGTTCATGAGTAGACGCTTGTTTGTAAACAATGACACGATATGACCATCTGAGGCAAGCGCACGTGACGACTCCCCCGCTTTAAATAAATGCAACAAGTGTATAAGCAGCTAACATCATGGGACATCGGGAAGTTGTTTCGGGCTGCTCCCTCACAACACCCTTTAGACCAAGAGCGTTGGGTGAAAGTGATACATCAGATAGATTAGTGATACATTCTGCTTTTAAAGATTTGTGGCAGAATGAAAATGTAATGTGAGTGTACTAGTTACTCGCCCAGGTTTACATGGTGTACGTCGACGTCGATTGACGCATTGCTGCATTATAACTTGTCTTCTTTAAGCGTACCCGTTTCTCAAGAAATGTAGGTCCCGTCATGACAGAAAAGGAGGAGTTGCCATCACTTTCAAAAAAAAAATCCTAAAATATTTAAACATATTGATTCCCAAGCGATAGATGGCGCTGTTCCGTTCGGCTCTATTGCACGAACCGCAGCTAACTCGGCTTTCGATCGCCGCAATCGTATACACGCTTTTAATTAGTGGGATGAGCCTACATATGATTCAATAACTAAATCTCAGGAATATAGGAGTAAAATACACAGAATACAATCAGTAAAATACACAGAATACAATCAGATTCTATCAAACAACGACGCCATGTTGAGCTTTGCCTCGAGGGCCATACCATTTCAACATACAGAAACTGGATAGACAGACTCTTTCTTTCATTATTTCATGCTATTTTTTTTGCCCGATGTTTAGTAATTATATATTTTCTAAGTCTGAGGAAAGAAATTGAATCGTCCTCTTCTCTATCCTCAAAGTTATTTCAAAAGTAAGGGTTAGCGTGGCAATATATGACCACAGTCACGGTTCCTCATGCAATACGTTATCCCCGATATCCTATTCTCTGTCTCTATTATTGCGGATTTTGAACGAAGTTACATCCACATGTTACTTTAGTGCGTTCCAACGGTAAGCGTAAATTATGTGATCGGTACGTACGTAACCAGAAAGTCGTGTTCTATTCTATTCTATTCTATTCTATTCTATTCTATTCTATTCTATTCTATTCTATTCTATTCTATTATACCCACGCCATACCACTTAGTCACTGAAACCACCAATGTCGCGAATCACGTAAACAATTATTGTAAATCACGATTTCCGAAAACAAAAAATAATAATATGCCGATCAATAGCCAGGAACATATACCTTTCGAATATATCCGTCACCGAAGCATGACGCAGTGGCGGATTTAAAGAGGGCATGGTGCGCGCCTTCTCTTCCCCCGTAGTTACTCATACATCGCATAATTGAATGCGGTGATGACGTCATTGCAACGGTACGATCCCATCCCAGCACCATCACTCGTGAGAGGAGTATTTCTATTTTAAATCACGTAAAGTGGAATGTGTTAAAGAATGCAGCCTAGGAATATCCCCCACTGCAGAAAAGACGTGAAAACCTAGTAATTATCGCGGTATTGTAAAGTGACTGCCAATCTAGAGAGATTAGATGTTAGAATCACATATAGCGAATTATTACGAGTTTTTCTTTTGAACAATTTGGGAAAATATCTCAACTTTGAACTCAAAGTGTTGTTGTTGCAGCTACTCTTGGCACGACTACTTCGTCGACTTCATTTTCGCTTTGACATTGAGGATGCATGTCCACAAATCTATAGTTTTACCGGTATCGGTGAATATGGTTTATTGTCATTTTCAGTTCCAAGTTCCCCGTACTAACCTCATTAACTCCGCGAAGCCACGATCACGTGACCAGGTTCAAAATTTTCAATTTGCGAATTGCCACTTCGCCCGAGCCATTGAGAGTTGAACACTAGCAATTGTCTTCCGTCATCTCCAGTCTCCGTTCTTCTAAACATTTGATTTAAAAAAAAAATCGATAAAACGGTTACGTCAGAACTTGATACATCATCCCAACTTTTCAAAAGATCGAAATTTTGGTAAGAGTCTGCTCAAATTAGTGTTTAAACGTTAACACAAATGACTACAACTACCGTTTTGTGGATATTTGTAATATTTGTTTATCTTTGGGACGGTTTACCAAATTACGTGATAACTTCTTATCTGCAAGCTTTGTTGTTGATGATTCCGATCACCCGTTAGATGATATGCTTTCTGTCGCAAACAATGCTTTGTAGTTCCGATCCTGTTGCAGCCTTTTCCTGTTTTCTACCTCAGACTGAGTTTCTACCAATCAGTGATCAGCCTACCACTCGTATTGGATTTGGTGAAAGCTTAGCGGGCTTGGAAATATTCATTCCTTGTTGTACGATCGCAACACAGCTTTTCTAGCGTTCCTCTCAACTTGTTTGAAATTTCTGTTTTCCACAGTGGCTACAGTATTTCATGTTTTCTTTATAGTGTAATAAAACCAAAAATGTTTAATGCATACTAATACGCACTCTATCCGTTATTGCCATAGTTACGAAACCTTAGTCTATCCCACGAGTCCAGAATTTTCTTTATCTACTCGAGACTCTTCCATGAGAAACTTCGAGAGAAAACTCGCAATATCGAGCGCTCACAATTTTGTTGTAAGATGCGCCCTCAACGATGGTAATTTACTGACCGCCGTCGAGTGAGTGCGGAACACTTTTCCGACGAATAAATATGATCTTTGATTTTCTTTGTGTTTGGTCTGTTCATACTATTATTTTGAAAATAAACTTACTTTTCTGATCCTGTGCATTTGTGACAAGGTGGCTCTTTCATTTTTACCGTGTTATGCATCAAAACAATTTATCGTCACATTATCCTACCCCTCCCCAATCACTAATTTATGAATTCGAGTGTATATCTAGGTACTATAGGGTATATTAGGGCAATTGTTTTCGAGATAATAAACATGATTTAAAAACAAAACTGGGGTGTTCAAGGTACAGTGTAGCCGCAGTTCTGGGACTCTCGGTTTCGCTGTGTTTTGCGATCATCCCCCATTAATGATGATGGGCGAAATATGCTGAAAATAACCCTGCCGCCGATTAAAAATTATTTACAGCGAAACTAGGAGTTACGTAACTGTACCTATTTACGTAGACTAGCAATGTCACGGAAAGGCATAGTTGCACTCGTCAATATATCAAAGCATGGACAATTACTATGATTACTTGCAGATGCTTACTCTGTGCTGTGTCAACAGAATACCCCCCCCCCAATCCCATGTCTTCACTGTGGCTCAACATGTCAGCGAAATTCATGATAAATGTTGCGAAAATAGGGAAGAAACACACACAAAAATGCACAGGTCCTTTCAAACATATAATACGTAAACCAAAATACTCGCCCAACGTGACTTACTACCGTGACAGTGCAGTAGTTTCAGCAAAGTAAATGAAATGGCATTGCGCCTTCCCTTCACCCACTCAGTAAAACAAAGGCACCTGGGTATGTTCTAAACCGTTTCAAGGCGCTTTCAGGTGCCACGTCCTCGTATATTTCCGGAGTGTTAAATCTAAGGAATAGCAGACGAAATTGTGAACACTTTTTATTTTTTTTTACTCGCTCTCAAGCACTTGTCATGTGTAATAATGTAAGCCATGAGTTGTGTTGATAATAGTAAACAGTACGACGTAACCATGGTAACTCGTTTTAAATACTAAACCACTTATAACACCAAATGAACATACAGTTTGCAAGGTAAAATAAAACGTCACCCATCAAAGTGGACTTATTAAAATTCGCTAAGAATCAAAAAGGAATTCTAAGTACACGATTTACATATTATGCATGTTTGTTATTATACCCATGTGTGTGTTTACTTATTTGGAGAATCAATGTTCATTTTGGATGAAATAAACAATATTTTACAGAAGCAGCGACTAGCTATCTAATAATCAATATAACGAGATTATGACATTTCTATTTATAGTTATCAAAGTCATAGCCAGGTATTGTCAGCAACAATCAGTGCATATATGGCAATTACCAATGCGTGACGTCAGTGTTATATTACTTGTATATCCATATATAGTAATGAAACTAATCACATGGTTAATTATTTGATTAATTTCTTATTGAAATTACAGGTGTGTATTTTAAACAAATAAATAATAGCAATAAATATTAGTACATGTACATCATTGTTTTTAGAATGCAGTTCTGTATAAGTTGGGTTTATGATCAATATCAATGTTATGGTCTGGTCTGGGTGTGCATGTATGTACTTTATTGCCACGGTAATTAAGATACTTTGCTAGGGTGATGACTCAATGTTGTCTCCGTGTTCTCGAGGTACAACTACAAGCTTTGACTAAAACTATAAAAGTCGTTTCCATATTAGGTAATATTCATAATGCGCATGCGCGTCTGGCTGGTTCACATGCAACTGCACAAGGCATAAAATAATAGTATCCTTTGGGACTTCTTGCCAAATCTCTGTTGCTGTCGCTCTGCAGCCATGTCGTACAGCCTTAGTAAGTAACCAGGGTTGAGTTGTTGTTTTTTTCCGACCACTGGGTTAGCTCTGGGTGTTCATTGCAGTGATTTGTAGCTGGATTTTCAGCATGATGTACAGAACGACTGGGCAGAGAAACGCTGGGTGTGTTCTGTGTTCAAATTCAAAAGTCGTCTGATTTCAACTCCATAGCATACATCACTGTTCAACTCCATCTATGGAGAACATAGCGCGGTGTTTTCTACAATGTTTCGGTTCTTTTGCATTGAAAACAACTATTTACTTTAATAATTGTTCTGGCTTTACGATACCGGGGAAGGCACCTCGTACCCAGAGGGCTCGTATCGGTGTCTTGCTCACTTCCGCATTTGAACTGAGGGCGTATTTTTCGTTCCTCTTCCGCTGTATGCACTATGCTTCAGAGAGTCTGTCTGTATGGTGAATTGAATCTTTCTTGATATTTAATGATATTTACATAAAATCTAGTAGTAACCTTCTATGATTACCGGCCGAATGTCATCAAACACGGCGTCAGTGACAATGAGTCATTTTGAGTAAGCGTGTCGAAGTTGACCAACCATTCACCCATAGACCTTCCAGTAGATATTCCTCATGAAAATACATGTTCAGACTATTAAGAATACTGTAAAAACATTTATTTTCACTGTCATTTAATTTCACTCTTTTAACGCTTTGAGCAATTTAACTGAGTTTTAAGTTCACAGACTTGGCAGGAACTTCTATTTTTATTTTATATGTTCACACTGATTTATTTTAACGGATTTTACTTATCAGCTAAAAATAGCAAAATTCATAACCAGCGAATAATTAAATGTTGCATAGCTGAATGTTATCACTATTATTAAAGGACTTTTAACAAATCATTAAATCAACACCAGTAATTACTGTGAATTACAAAGCAACCCAACCAGCAGTGTTGCAACATTGATAGTTCATATGTAACAGTTTGTTATGGTAAACTGACATCAATATTGCTACTTTGTTAGAAAAACTGTGAGTGACATTGTGTACTGTCAACAGGCCATAATTTTCTTATTTTCCATGAGTGTTAAATAAAATGCCAAAAGCGTCTGAATTGATGCATTTTGGTGTGACCCAAATCCTAAACTCAGGTGTACCTATCCTCAAAATTGTAGATAATGCAAAATCTATTATTGGTAGACCATTGATGTTATAAATTTATTAACCAATCATGAAGCACACAATGTGGGATAAACAGGAATTTAACTATAAATTTGTCGCCTATGACAACACTGATGCATCTTGTTTTGCTTGCATTGCATTGTTATACACACTTTACGTATAGTCGGTAGACACAAAGTTTTTAGCAAGAACTTGAAAACTTAAAGGTCGGAGAATGGATTTTCAAGAAAGAGCAGATGTGCAATGGCAATTTTATATGAAATATCCCCTAATAAAAGCAAATGTGATGCATGTATGACCTGTGACATGCTGACCGCTACTCTACTATATGTAATTTTGTCTATATCATCATTCAACTTTCATAAATAATATCAAGACTATAACAGTTCCTTGGGAATTCAACAGTCTACAGTCTAAGTGGTTCTACATCTAACAAATTAAAGGTTTACAGTTTATCATCAAGAAAATGGAAAGACTTATTACGTACCGGCCCACATATTAAACGACTTCATTTATATTTAATTTTGTTTACTCATTTACATGCTGTCTAATTACCGTTATATCTGACCAAATGATGACACAAATTGAATCTAGTTTTTGTTAGATCAGCAACCACTCTGTAATGCCTTCAAGTATATTGTGTGGTACATGTATTATTGTAATAATCTCGTAATATATTCAGACTGTAATATTATATATCCCCCAGTCATAAAATATGTAACATCGTATCACAGATTGATACATGTACATGTGTCTATGATTAATACACGTCAAGCTTCACTGGACTGTGAAATACCCCAATTATTACTATTCTAATTTCCATGTATTGCATGAAAGTGAATGCTTGTAAGAAAAAGAGTATTTAAAAGTTCTGACATGGTACAACATCATTGTATTGATAATTGTGCTGGTTACTGTTATTGTTACAGATAGTATATTAGCTACTTTACCACGAACCCAACGTGGGTCACCAATTGTGCTCGGTGGCGATCCTAAAGGAAAGAACTTTCTGTACACAAATGGAAACAGTGTTATTATCAGAGACATTGAGGTAATGTAAATATCAAACCATAATGTCTTTCACTTGGTACTAACAGACAGTGGGTTATTACTTGGATAAACAATCGCATGGGCAAGAGTAGTATGAAGTGATAAAACAATACAATTTCATTAATATTCTCAAAATTTGAGAAGATCCTAGTGTGAACTGATTTCTATTGTATAACTACCAACAATCATTTTTATGGCAAAACTGGAAAGTGGCAACTAGACACCTTTCAGCCTGCATGCTGGGAAATTCTTCTGTATATCTTTCCAATTTACCCCACCTCCAATCCTAAATATAACCCAACACCTATCCTCTAATTAATTGTATATTCCCCTCTTGAGGACACCTATACATGTAGTTAGTGTCATATACAACCGAATTGGGGGTCTGGAGGGTTAAGGTAAGGGGTAGGGTTATACTGGAAAGTGTTTCCACAACAATAATTAAAATAGATAAATATGGTAAAATAAAAGTTATAGATATACAGTGTAAATATGCATTATTGGTGAACTACAGTGTTATTATTTGGTTGATTGTCATCACCGACAATGATGACATCACTCGCAATGAATTGTTGCACATCTATGGATGGAATACGATACTATTTTAAACAGTATCACACTGTGATATCTAGGACAGAAAAATCACATATCCTGATCTTTTACATTTACAGGGAGTAATGATTTTTTTTATTGATCTAAACCCATGAAATTGACACCATTTACAATATAAAATAATTACTGGTAATTAAAATTTAAATATAGGCTATATCAAGACACTGTTATTTTGATGTATTAAGAATAGTTATTACGTGTCAGTAAGACAAACCATTCATGTAGAAACATTATTTTGTTTGCTTCATTGATGTTTTTTTCTCATATAAGTAATTTTACTTGTATCATATTTGCTTTCTTAGAAGAGTTGTGTACTGTATCATTAAAATATGATTTTGATTGTTATTGTAAACTGAATCCTTATAATATAATTTACGTAAGTGTATATGCCATTACGAGAGCAAATATGGTAGAGCAGTTCTGGAAAATCACAAAGTTTGATTTTAATCCATAAATTGTGTTTTATTTGATAGTCACCCGAGATAGCCGATGTATACACTGAACACTCAGTGCAGGCTACTGTTGCTAAATATGCACCCAGCGGATTTTACATTGCATCTGGAGGTAATGTCAACATTTGGTTGCTATAGTAACATATACATATAATTATGTGTGCACTACCGGGTATGTCTCTTCTCTTTGAAGTGTATTCACTTATTAACATTGATATCTCAAGTACTAATCCTCTATTTCAATGGATCTTGGTACATGAATGCTCTAAGACAATGCAACCACCTAGTTTTTGTTTTAAATATTTCCATAATAATCACCTAATTTGCATAATAATTTAATATTTTACTTTTCCACTTTTCCAGTGTTTTTTTTGAAGAATTAATCTTCACACAATGAAATTTTGAGTATACCAATTACCTAATTTGCATAATATGCATAGTCATCCTATTTTGATAAGATTTGGTACATAGATCTTCCAGGATACCCCGGTGTGTTTAGTTTGATGTTGAAAACCATTCATATTGATTATCATTTTATCAGCCAATTTCTGCAAACCACAGATCAATCCTATTTATTTTCTGAGAGCATTCAACTTGGATCACATTGTTTTCATGTTGTGCATCTCAAATAACAGACACTTATTAGTCACCAAGCTTCTTGTTGGAAAGGCTAATGTGTTTTTGACTCCCGTGTGTGAAGCACACATTGGGAGTCTTTGCAGTTACCCTGTCTGTACGTATGTGTGTATGTGTATGTGTGTGTGTATGTTTTTGAAATAATTTTAAATATGCTTCAATTCTCTCAGCACGGAGTTCTTTCTAAGTTTCCTTGTATTTATAATTGTAGATGTTTCTGGAAAGATTCGCATCTGGGATACTACTCAGAAGGAGCATATTTTAAAATATGAATATCATTCATTGGGAGGACAGATTAAAGACATTGCCTGGTCACCTGATAGCAAGAGAATTGTTGCAGTGGGAGATGGGAGAGAAAAGTAAGTGATATCTGTGTCTGTTAAACATCTTTCAGTAATGTGTTAGTTATCCCTCAGAGTGTGTTAAATTATAGACTGTTGACAGTCATCAGGCCTAATTATTTAGTATACTAAATCGGCAAACGCCAAAAAATTAAAAATTTCCAGAATCAAGCAGTTCTGCCATTTCAAAACCCCAGATCTTGAGACATGTCATTTTGTTTTATAGATCTGTTTCATAATGACTGTCAGGCACTGGCAGCCATTTTGTTTTCAAAAGTTACATAGCCATATCTTTGACAGGCCTTGATTGACTGTATACAAATGTATGTCACATATTTTCTTTTGTTTCAGTTGAAAAAAATATTCAACCCCTCATGTATGTGATCAGTTCTTTGATGAAATTTTTGTTTTTTCCTAGGTATGGTAATGTGTTCATGTGGGACACTGGTACCACAGTTGGTGAAATAATTGGCCATAGCAAGGCCATTAATTCTGTAGATTTCAAGTCTTCTCGACCATTCCGTATTGTTACAGCCTCTGAAGATAATGACAGTAACTTTTACGAAGGACCTCCCTTCAAGTTCAAGCATTCCGCCAAGGTAAAACTTGACTTGTGTATCACATAATTAGTCTTTGCAGCTACCCTGTCTGTATAGTATAGTAGTTAGCAGTTTGTGATAATCTGTGTCCCTACAGTACTCATTTCGCCCAGCCTCCCGCCCGCTTCCGGATTTCGATCGCTTTTTTTTCGCTCGCTTTGTTCAATTCGACCGCGCAATTTCCGCTTTTTTTTCGACCGCGCAAATCCGGAAGTTTCCGCTCGCGCAATCGCTCGCTCGCTCGCCTGACAGAGCAACCGCCCGCATTTA